ATAAAGCATTTTTTGAAACCCCTCCAGTGAAAATAAAGTCCCTCCGGTGGTCTCCAGTAGAATCGAAATCTTACTACGAACTTCTTTGAGTCCGAAAAAGGACCTTATTACAGAGACATTTTCAATCAAATTCAAGGTTATCCTGCCCCCCCCCCCTCGATGTCTGTTTATCATTTGTGCTATTGTTTACAATCTTTGTTATTGTTGTTACGCAAAAACTAGTTCTTCAGCAGTCCAAAAACGTCACAGCAAAGGTTACGGAAACCCTATCGCCCCCTCCTTCTATTTAATATCTCCTTTGGTCAGTCGATCTTCACATATGTTGTCATAACTCTAAAAATAATAACGTGCATAGCAAAAAAATGAATATCTCAAAAAAACAAAGAAGCTATAGTAATACAAGACTTTGAATATACTTTGTTTTTCCTGAGAACCTAAAGGAACACTAATTTAAAGAAAGTATCTAATTAAAGATTTATCCGAGAAACGATGACGTTTATGGCACTTTATGATCACCTAATATTTACATACGCATATATAAATTAATATCTATCTAAATAAACAAACTTAGTTTGATATGGTTCACTCATGTCCTGAGAAACTTTGAAACAACTTAATAATGATGATAATCTTGAGAACCTACAGCTTTTTCTGATTCCCATAAGAGAAATCCAGGGGGGGCGGAAGGGCTGGTTTCTATTCCAGGGTTATCCACAAAGGATGGGACTGTAAAGACGACCCAGAAACTATTTAAATATGATAATTTTAAGGTTAAATTAGGTATTCTGTCATTAATATAGTTATTTTGTTAGCCTTTAACGATTTGGCAAAGAAAAAGCAAAGGAATTGAGTTTTTGTCACAAACTCTGAATTTCTAACCAATCTTTGAAACCCCATGTCGTAGACCTTAGATATTTTAAACCATGAAATCCGTTAGATATAATGATATAAGTATGAAATATAACACGTTTATACCATCAAGTTACAAAGATATAAGGAAAATTTGAGTTTGTTGCAAAAACTCAGTTCTTTTACAGTTGCAAGAAATCTTAAGTATAAGGAAGAAGACAGCATAAATACCGTACAGTCGTCACTGCAGTCTCATCCTTAGTGGAAAACCCTGTAGAAATAAGTTGAGGATGTCGTTGTTTGTTTTGGCAGTGGATTTTGATGATGCAATACGGCAGGATGATATGGACTGGTTAGGATGATATCAGGTTCAGGGGAATTTAAAGGGTTAGTTAGGTTCAATATTAATTAAACAAAATAAACAAAGGTAGAAAGAAAAGCAATACAAGTTTTGTTTAAAGGGTTAGTTAGGTTCAATATTAATTAAAAAAATAAACAAACGTAGAAAGAAAAGCAATACAAGTTTTGTTTAAAGGGTTAGTTAGGTTCAATATTAATTAAAAAAATAAACAAACGTAGAAAGAAAAGCAATACAAGTTTTGTTTAAAAACTGCTCTTTGGAAGGAAAGAAGGGAAAAGGCAATATTAAATAGTTAAACAAAGGAGAAGTGATGATAAAAAGGAAAAGATAAAACACGTTTAAAAATAAAAATAGTTTGAAAGATGTGAAGAAAAATGGTAAAAAATAAAGAAAAGAAACAAAAAATAGAGTAAATTTGGATGGATAGTGGAGAGTAGGGAAAGACTGATTGTAGAAAGGAAAGTGAGGATTATAAAGCAAAGAAAGGGAAGGAAAGGGGAGTTTATTATTGTTATTTTGTCAGTACATCTGTCAATAGAGTGTGTGAGCTAAGAACCGTAAATAAACCCTGATGAAAATTATATTAGAGCAGGAAGGATGAATGAGTAGATGAATGAGTAGGTGAATAAGTAGATAAATGAGTAGATGAATGAGTAGATCAATGAGGAGATGAATGAGGAGATGAATGATTAGGTGATTGAGTAGATAAATGAGTAGATGAATGAGTAGGTGAATGAGTAGATAAATGAGTAGATGAATGAGTAGATGAATGAGTAGATAAATGAGTAGATGAATGAGTAGGTGAATGAGTAGGTGAATGAGTAGGTAAATGATTAGGTGAATGAGGAGATGAATGAAAGGATGAATGAATGATTAGGTGAATGAATAGGTGAATGAGTAGATGAATGCGCGGTTGAATGACAGATGAATATCCGAATTGAAATGTTATTGTAAGTATTATAAACCAACTCTTTTATCCAAATCACAATAAACTCTTTATTTATTTATTTATTCAAATCAGGAGTAAATCTTTGAATGGTGGGTTACTAGAAATAACGTCTACAGTTCCTTTCATAATATATCTGAATGACACCTCCCCGGTAAATCCACCTAAATAGTATTCTGCAGGAGATAGGATTCTAAATATTCTGACGAGGCTTCAGAATACTAAATAAGTTAATTCTATATCAGGAATACGAGAACCCAATATTATTCTTATATTAGAACAAACCAATTCAGCAGATAGAACGATAATTAGATAGATTGTTAGATAGGTAGATAAACGGTTCAGTAAAAGTTTCTAGTAGGTAAAGATCGTAAAGATAAAAAACCGTTTAATTTGTAAACTTTCAGAAACAGAATCAAATTGATAAAATAGAATAAGTAAAATATGAAAGTTAAAAAAAGAAACAAACCAAGCGCACGCAATAGAAAATTGAATGATGTAAGTCCAAAAGAAAAGTTTACCTTCAATCGTCTAGATTTAAAATAACTTAAAAGCGAAGAAAAAGCATCCATAGTTTTAAATTCAAATTGGATTGTCTTGAAAAAGTAATGAAGGATTTGAGTCTTCGTAACAAACTCAGATAGTCTAATTGTCTAATTTTCTATATCTTTACAACTCAATGTAGTAGACCTTGAAATATTCAAAGCTATGAATTTTCCTCGATCGAATCATCTAAGTTTGAAATATCAAAGGTTTACACCATCATGCAGGTTGGAAGGATAGGAATGACAATTTGAATTTGTGTGAAAACTCAAATACTTCATTTCCGGAAATAAAGTAACTTAACGGTAAGAGGAAGAGAGAAAGTGTGAACGTAAAAAGAGAAAGTGATAAAGTAAAAAGTGAAAGTGATAAAGTAAAAAGTGAAAGTGATAAAGTAAAAAGAGAAAGTGATAAAGTAAAAAGAGAAAGTGATAAAGTAAAAACAGAAAGTCTAAAAGTAAAAAAAGATTTAGTGTGAAAGTAAAAAGAGAAAGTGATAAAGTAAAAAGAGAAAGTGATAAAGTAAAAAGAGAAAGTGATAAAGTAAAAAGAGAAAGTGTGAGTGTGAACGTAAAAAGTGAAAGTGATAAAGTAAAAAGAGAAAGTAGAGCCGGAACCAAATATCAGAATAAATAATTTTCATATGAAACTTACTACAAGAATAACGTAGGTGAAACTAGATTTTCTAAAACCAGGGGATATTGTATATTATTGCAGTTTATATACAATTTCATTAAGGAAAGAAACAACAGGTAGGGATTACTGACGGCCAGGTATAGTTTTGAGATATTAAGGGTTTACTCAGGTTTATTGGCGTTTAAAGTGCTCAACATAGATAAGAATTATTTAACACATTGTATTCTTGCTAAGTTTGCTTTTTAAACATTATGTGACCTTTTTTCTCTGATGAAAGGTTTAAGCCCAAACGATTTTTCAAAACGGAAAATGAAAAACGATTTTTTAAAATCGTTTTAAAAATCTTGTTGGTAAATATGATAAAATATCAGAGTTTGTTGCATTAGACATAATTCCTTTGTCCGGTTCTGTATGAAAATACGTTTAAAAATGTATTCTTTCATTCGTACGTTCACTCTATATTTGGTTCTTTTTAGATTTTTATTTATATTTTGCTTTGGTCCCATATTTAATTCTATTCTATTCTTTTCTAGTTTCGTCAACTCAATTTGTCTACAATCTGATTACAGCTAAATACGTCCCAAAGCAGCAGAACAGGGAGGGGATTAGGTTAGGGTTAGGGTATATTGGGGAAATAGTGGTGGAAGGAGATTAATGGTGAGTTATTGAAATTCCCCCTCCCCCTTCATGTATTCACCACAAGTTATTATTTTCACGTTTACCGTAATTAGCAATTGGCATCGATTTGAGGTCCGTTTCAAACATTCTATGTTTTTGCAAAGTATTATAAATCTGATTTTATATTCAATTTCAAAAATGCATGATTGACAAGTTTGATTTATTATGACAAAAACAATAATTCAATACTTTTAGTAAAATAGTTTTGAAAATTAGATTTGAAAAATCGTTTTGGTTGATATATCTTTGATCAGAGAAAAACAGTTGCATAATGTAATAAAACAAACTAATCGATAATACAATTTTCAAACAAAGACAAATTACTCACATGAATGTGGAGAACTTTTAACGTCAAAAACCCTTAATATTCAAAAACGGGTCTCATAACAATTGCTTATGCCTGTTAAAACTGTTTTTGCTTTTATTGTGTTTCTCTGTATTTCATAATTTTGTATTTCTAATATGTACAGGGTGTCCCAAAAAACATGGGAATTCAGTGACGAATTCGATATCGTCTTTTCAAATAATTCTTCGATTTAGTATAGTGATACCTACTGAGAAAGCTGTAATCTGTAAGAGTTTCGTCTGCTATGCAGGGGTCAATATAATTCCTTTTTCAATCCCATTTGGGATTGACAAATTTGAAAGAAATGGGGGCAAAGTCTTTTATTGGGGGCAAATTTTTCTTAAATGATAATTTTAAAAAAAATTGGGGGCATTTTTTTTTANTTAGGTATTACAATGCTAATTCATAACAAAGACGATATCGAATTCGTCACTGAATTCCCATGTTTTTTGGGACACCCTGTACATAACAACTTTATAAATTAGAAAAGCATTTATGGCGACGTATTAAATAATTAAAAGCAAAAGAGAAGAATTGACAATCATATTTCACAGTTTTAAGGGGAGGGTTGTGGTGGATATTAAGAAATAGGGCCCAGAGAAGAACTTGATTTGGTTTGCCCCTTCATGCTTATTGCTTATTGCATAAGGAAGGCAGGTATAGTATAGTGTGTATCTAGTAGTGTTCATTCTAACCTTGGATTTCTCAGTGTACACTACATGCTGGTAGAAAGTGTGTATTTACTAAATTGTGTAAACACAATATCAGCCTCAGAGTTAAAATGTGAAAACAAAGCTTACTCTTACATATAACAGTGTTACAAAGATTTTAATGTTCCATCTAAGGTTATACAATATTTATTGTATACTCATTTCCCCCCCCCCCCCCAACCAATTTCAAGTGAAATGGTTAAAATGTTACAAAATTCAGAACTTACATAAAGTCCATAAAGTTGCACTGTGCACTGTGCATGTTGCATAATATCGGCTTTCATAATTTGTTGACTTTATGCTTTCAGTTATATCATTACACCTCGTCATTTCGTCATTTCGTCATTTCAAATATTGTAAATTCTTGTTTTTATCATTTAATCATTTGTGGTAAAATGTTAGATATATAAGATTTTTCCTGAATTGTTAGCATTATATTCAGCCAGTAACATTTGTTGATACTTTTCAGACATAATTGTTTCAAGATTCTCAAGAAATCTCCAAATCTGAAAATGTTTACGTAAGTTTTAACAGTTTTTCTTCTTTTATTCATTAATCGTGGTGAAAATATTGCAATTTGGAATGGTTTTATTTTTGAATAAATGTTCTAAACAATTTAGACATGAATCAGTTGAAATAGTTGCAAATTACAAAATTCATAGCAAAATTTCTAAAGTTAAAGGAAAAAATGTAAATTTTGCGTATTTTCAGAAAGCAACAACTATGTAACACTATTTTTAATAAAATAACTTTTTTATAATAACAAATAGCAATATATTTCCTTTTTTGGTTTAATTTAAAAAGTTGTCACAAAGTTTATTTTGTTGAAATAAATTCTACTTTGTATATTTATACTGACACTTTATAAATATTCAATAAATCTTTATTTATTTAAAAACTTTATCTGATATATTTAGAACCTTGAAAAGCCACCTAGGGTTCGGCCCACCAGGGGAAGTACTGGATAATGAGAATGCACCATATACAGTTGTCCAGAAATATGAGGTAAACACTCATAGAGAATAGAATATATATTAGAGTGGAATTTATTAGAAAAAAGTGTAAAACGGCCATTTTGTTGTACTGTTTCCATACTGCAGGTGTACTTCACATATTTATGCAATATAACCTTTTGGGCCCTGGAATATCATTTTATAGAAAATCTAAAATTAATGCTAAAAGAAAACCAAATTATGAAATAGGCTGGTTTCATAATTGACCAATGATCATTTCACTTTACAAACAATGATTTTCCGTTATAACTATAAATCAAATGATGTTTTTATTCACCTAATTCATTATAAAGTTTATTTAACAGCTTTGAAAAAATTCGGAATTGAAATGAATAGTCATGGGAACATACTGTATTAATGTACTCAACTGCATATAATTTGTGAACATTTACATGATTTGTACACTTTGAACTCCCTTTCAGGCTGAAAGGGACTGAAAAATTTCAAATCGAGAGATTCTCTAAATTCTCTATGTAAACACATGATAAGTAACTTCTCACGTTCTAGGGAATAGTATTTTTTAAATTAATTTAAAGGGACTGAAGGTGAAATTTCCATTTGTTGAGTGACGTGTTCGACCAAGGTTCTCGGACTTATTCTAGTTAATTTGCTTTTAAGCTTTTAGTGGTCGAACACTTTGTTTTAAAGTTATTCTATAATTAAGAAATATTAATATTTACTTTCTAGATGTGACCGAAAATAAATATTATTTATTTGCAAACCGGTTTTAACGTTTAAGTTCGGTAATTTCAAGAAATCAACTGTTTTGAGTTCACACTGTACGTTGGGTACACCAGGTTTGGCAGGAATTCAAACGCTTTTCAAAAGTTTTACATACGGAGATCTCTGTACTCGATAAACAGTCAAAGGTTTAATAGATATAGTTACAAATCTAGTATTGCCATTTTTCCATCGAGGATCACTTACGCTTACAGTCCCTTAAAAGACGCATTTTGACACATTTTATAATGAGAAAATGCATTGCGTAACCTTTTCTTTCTTCTTTCTCACAAATTGACCAACCTGTGTAGGGTTATGAGCTCCGTGAGTACCCAGAGAGGAAATGGATCTCCACGAAGGGAGTAAATGAAACCAAGAACGACCGGATGTTCTGGAGATTATTTAACTACATCAGCGGGAAGAACGACAGGGAGGAAAAGATCAGTATGACGGTTCCAGTCCTTACTAGTAATGAGAGGAAGGAGAATCAAAGTTTAGAGAGGCATATGTCATTTTACATTCCTAATCAATTCCAGGTATAGATCACTTATATGGTGGCATTAAAAGAATAACTCTTAAATGTCAGGTCAAAAATCTCAAGTGCCACGATCTGTTTGTAATGTAATCTAAAGATTTTGATATATAATATAATGCAAGGGGCTATAAGGCCATAAGAAAATGTTTTTGATTTAAGTATAGCAAGTAAATAGAATCAGCGTAAGTAAAGAACAAGTTCTAGGTGAGAAATTGATTCCCTTTATTTACTTTATAGTTAATAAGTTAATAAACCATGGCTTAACAAATAATTGAGCAAGATGACGCTTTATCTTCAAAGTTCTAGATTATTCTAGTTTATCCTAGTTTCCAGTTTCAAATCTAAAAACACATTTTTTGCAGATAATTAAAAATTCTTTAAAGACTTTAAATTGATTTATTTGTTAGGCTGACCCTCCGGCTCCAAATGACGAAGAGGTAAAAGTGGTGACCCTGCCATCTCTCATCCTTTACACCAAGATGATGGGAGGTTTCCCGGACTTCGAGAAGGAAGCTGGTATCTTTAAGACAGAGCTTGAAGCTGCTGGACATGATGATGTCGATTTCTCCATGTTCTATTCCGCAGGATACGATAATCCGTTCAAACTACTCAATCGTAGGAATGAGGTTATGTTCAAGAAGATAATAAAAAACTAAACCTTTCTACAGTATTCGGCGTTAATATTAATAAAATGAAGACGACTTTTCCTTTTAAGTTTTAATGTCGATCAAGCATTTTTTCAAATTACAAGTTTACAAGTAAACAATAAGAATCTGTTAATTTACAACTTCTCTTTGATTTATTCCTTAACATTTTTTATCTTTGCTTAAGTATAGTGAATAGTTCTTGTATAACTCTATTTTTTTTAAATACACATGATTTAATATATATATGTAATTCTCTGTAAATGTAACATAATCTTTCAAATATACAGACGCGTCATATATTTACAAATTTCATATATTTTTCTTTTTACTGTACCTACTGGCAACTTAATACTCTTTTCTGCAACAAACCTGATTTTATATCTGTTTTTATTTACAAAGAATAAACCAAAATATTGTTGAAAATTGTTTGATTTCGAAAATAAAATGTATTCATACTAGACTGTCGGTAATTATGGCATAATTATACCCTTGATCCCCTTGATCTCAACTCCCTCCTCCTCCCAGCCTCTGCTCCCGCAGACTTCAAACTTTCAAACACAACAATAGAACTCAAAATTCTATTTGAAATAGAAGAACATTTTTGATAGATTTCATAAAGTTTTTATTTGTTTAACCTCCAGGGTATTGGTCCGGGGGGGTTGAAGAGGGGAATTATTAGAAGAAGATTACAGATTACAGAGATAACTCCAGGGAATTGGTGTGGGGAGGGGGGTTGAAGAGGGGAATAATTAGAAGAAGATTACAGAGATAATTCCAGGGTATTG